GAGATATATATTGTTTTATTAATTTCTTTTACTTCTTTTTCTTAAAACTTTTAGGAGAAAGAAAAGAAGTCTGTAAATTGATTCATAGTCAGAAAAAGAAAGCCAATATCAACTTCACATAGCTTATAACCAGGCCAGTGCAGGTTAACACCTTTCTTGACACTACAAGGAACTCAAGAAACAACTAAGTTTACTTAATAAATCAAGTTACTTCAGTTACTCAAAGGCCCAGAAGGATATCAAAGCTTCCTAAGGACAAGATAGTCTAAATGTACATACATGCATAAACAATACATCTATCCTTCATCTTGTTATATAAACATGATCACATAAAAGTGGACAAGCAAAACAAGTATACACATAAAAGTGATAAACAAAACATATATATATATATATAACTTGTGATCTAAACAAGTTAATCAATATTCCAAAACTCTTTCCGCTGATTCTCTGCTCACACACAAAAAAGATATTCGCAAGAAATTTTTTATTTCTTTGCTAATAAAGTCTTAACACTATCCTTAAACCAACTTAAAGTTTTACTTTAAGAACACTTCCAAACCCTTCCTCTTGTTTATATTCATTTTCAAACAAAAACTTGGCTTCCTGTGACCTAGAAAAGTCAAGAAACACCTTCTCTACCTATGGCAAGAAAGTTCTGAAAGGAAGAAGAACTAATAGTGTAGTATTTGAAGCCTTTTATATTGAAGTATGTCTATAGAGGTTTTCTGCAATGGGAGGTAATGAACATTAAGCCATATTTCAAAGTGTCTACCCACTATTTCTTCCCTCTTATAGTTACCCAAATTTTTTTGGTTTTCTGGGAAATTTTGCCTACCTCAATTTGACCCTAAATTTTAGGTGACACAATCTATTGCAAAATATGATTGGTGGATATGAAACACGTTAGTAGCTGAATGTAAACAAGCTCCTATTAGTCACCTCACATGTTCCGATGATGTCATTGATGATATAGGAAAGAAAGTTCTAGAAAAAGTGTCCTCTCTAATCGTGTATGTTCAATCTTCAAGAAACAATTATGATACCGAAAGGCAAGTGACGGGTACGAAAAGAAGATTCAACTCTCATCTCTCATTAAGTTTCTCAGGTGATGAAAAGGCTTTTTTGAACAAAAACTGAGGTTTCCAAGCTTCTATCCCGGTCAGGCAAACTCTTCTGTAATATGGCGCTGGCCTTAACAACGATAAGCGAATTCATACATTGGAAGAAGGATAAGTTCCTCAAACATTCTTCTTGAAGTCACTTTCAGGAATGGCTAAGTTCCTCAAACATCATGAAGCTTAGCGAATATTCCAATTAGGCAAACCCCTTTCGAGAGGAAACTGTGAAATGGAGCAAGAACCTTTTGGAGGGCTTTAATTTGCATTCCTCCTTTTCCTTTTTTTCAGTGCCAACTTTAGCAATTCATTATTTTTCGTGATAATCTACAGTGACAAACTGTTGACGATGACCCTGGTTAACTTAGAGGCACTTTGCCAAGCAACTAGGAGAGTGAAATATTGCTCCCTAAATCTAACTTAGAGTACCTAGTTTAAACTTAGTTTTGTTTAGTTCGAACTAACTTAGTGAACTTCTTATATTTTTTAAGCAGTGTAGTCCTTTAACTAATAATGTACAACGACGAGTTAATCGCTTTGTGAAAGTTTGTAAAATATTTAGGTATTTCTCAATATCTCAATAAAGACACACCATTGCGGCATAATTGCAGGTAAAAAAAAAAAAAAAAAAGTATAGCTTATGATATATTGTATTTAATAAAACACATATAACTAATCTGACAAAGGATTAATTAAAAAAATCAATTTTTCTATTAATAAAAAATTTTTAATTATTTTTAAGAATTTTTTTATATATCAAAAAAAGTTTTTTTTTTTGATTTTTAATTAATTATTTTTAAAAAATTTTTATTATAATAAAAAATTTATTTTCTAACTATTTTTATATATAAAAAATTTTTTTGATTATTTTTTAACTTTAAATTAAATTTTTTAAAAAAAATTGTTAATTAATTATTATTAAAACTTAAGTATTTTTTAAATTAAATTATAAATTATATATATAATCGATCAGGAAACTAAAAATATAAGAGACTGACAAATACTTCAGCTCCTGCAAGGTACAAGCAAAGGATCTATATCAGAATAGTTCCAAATTATAACCAAAAACCTCTCAAGAGAATGATTAAAATAACTTACAAGATCCGGGAAAGAAAATTTTATGAAATGGGAATCAGAATACTCCAAAATAGAAGTCAATCAAGACAAGCGAAAAAAATTGTGGATAGTGATAAAAAGTAAAAAAAATCTAGTAATATAGGAAAAATTAAGACAAGAAAAAGAAAAAAATATTATGATAGTGAAGCACTTTGTCAGTTGCAGCACCAACAATAACCAGGAAACTAATTTACAAAAATTCTCAGGATGTTCAGAAGGTACAATACTGAATGGTGACTGCATCATAGAAAGAGGAATAGGAGAGATATACACAGTACTATACCTCAACATAAGAAAGTTTACTAGAAGAATACAGATTTAAAAATCTCCAATCCTAGGTTAGCACTCGAAAAAAGAATTAAAGAAGTAATTTACAGAAACCAAAGTCCATTCAAGATTCAAATGACAGAATAAATCATGTGAATATTGAAACCTGGAAAGAATCTATTGTCAGAGAAAATATTAAAGAAGATGCATATCAAAATCATTTATAGTTATACTTCAACGTAATCTCAAATCCAAAAAAAGTTAATCTTCTATTCTGATAGATCACTTATTAATCATAGTAAAGAAGAAATAAAGATGGGTGCAGCTTGGATTCAAATTGACAAAGATGGAATGGAAAGCAAGTTCCAAATAGAAGTAGACAAGTGGCCCTCATCTACATGAGCAGAATTAGTAGCAGTCATCACAATTCTTCTGGTAGTTCCAATAGAAAGCATGGTGGAAATCTTTACAGACAGTCAGGCATGTATCTCTAAGTGGAAATCTTTAGAAAAAGAAAACCCAAGAAGGACACACAAGAGATGGCTCAAAGAAAAAAATTGAACACTCTGGGCACATATGGTAGAGTTAATAAAGAAGAAAAATATAGATCTAAAGTTCATAAAAGTCAAAGCACATTCAAATGATTCTTATAATGAAAAAGCAGATACCTTAGCTAAAGAAGCTCTAAAATTTCCATCGATTGAATGGAAAGATCTCATCTCACATAAAATTATTACTGAAATCAAGTGGCAAGGGATGACTCTGGATGATCCAATCAAATAGTTTATTAAGAACATTAATAATAAGACAACAGCCTATCAGTGGACACAATAAAATAGAACTGAAAAAAAATGGAGTTAACAGATTTTAGAACACTAGGCTCATATATGAGACCTAGTATGGGAAAGGGTTAAAGATGGACACATGTAGAATACATCTTTTAAACAATCCCAACAAAGAAGCTTTCTAATCAAACTAACCAATGACAAGCTATCTGCACTAAGTAAATTGGCTATAAGAAGATCAGACCTATACAAGCAAGTGAAATGTATCACATGTAGTCAACAAGATAAAATCATAAAACACTTGCTAGAATGTTCAATCTATAAGAATCAACTAAAAGAAGTATGGAATAAAGGAGTAGATAGTATTATCAAAAACTTTAAAGAACTGTTAGAGGAAAGAAAGAGAGAGGCTGAAGAGAAAAATCTTAGTTTAATTATCAATGACTGAGAAGAGATAGGAGAGTTTGACAAATGGATCTCTAAAGTAGTAGAACAGATTTCTAAAACTAGCCAGGACACATTAAGCTTCTGTACTGGTCTTATAAGAATAGATATTATCCTAGAAATAGTAGATCTAAAATGTTAAGGTAAATGCATAGGAAGAATAGCAAGAAAATGGATAATAAAAATGCAAAGAAGAGTCTGCAATCAAATCTGAAAAGAAATCTGGAACAAGAAATGCGAAATGGTAATTGAGTGAGAAAAAACACAAGGAATTGATAGAGAGAACAAGACAAGAAGACCTTCATGTCTTTCAAATCTGAAATTTATACTCATGAAGAAAAAAGAGCCACTACCTGAAGAAGAAAATTTCAAAGATGAAGACCTCCGAGAAATTTTAACAAGAAGAGTGAAGTATGAAATGAAATGACTGGATTTTAAGCTTTGTCAGAACATCACAGAGTGATCTGCAGTAGTAACCTGCAGACAATGAAGTTAACAGTTGGAAGGGTCTTTACTTGAACTGTTAATGGAGCAATAAATCACTCTTGAAGTTGCACTTAGAGTTTTAATAATTCTTTAAAACAGAGACGAGTGAGTTAGGTAGAGTCTTAGCTTTAGCAATACATTCTTCAATGTAAAGTATATATATGTTTAATAAAGCACACGTACCTAGCCTGACAGAGGATTTTTAAAAAAAAAAAAATTATAAATTATATATATTTGAAATTTTATTTTAATTAAATAATTATTTATTAAATAATAATAATATAATTAATATACTATATTTATTTATTTTTATAATATAATTTTATATAAAAGAATTTTATAATACTAATTTGTTGTTAAATTAAATCAATAAAGAAATTAAATAAATTAAATATGATTTATATTACTGATACTGCGAAGGGAAATATCCCCATACTATTAAATAAACAACTCATAATGACCTAAACAGCGGGTTAAAAAGAATCAACATCTGATATGCAATATCTCAAACTTTATCCAATAAAACCAAATCAATTTAATTACGTTATTTGTAAGCAACCGTTTATAGGCGATATCTCGAATTTTGACCCAATTCGGGCCAAGATTCGTGTGAAACTTACGTAATTAGTGAGTTAACTCAATTATGATAAGGATCTTCTCACAAACCGCCGAACTTCAAATCTCGTCACTTGTGGCTAAGATTAATTCGGTTTTTAAATTCACGATAAAATGATTGCACGCATCGATAAAAGTTGCTTCAACAAACTTGTTTTGCATTGTTGTAATGCGGAATTTGAAAGTTTTCTCGGGTTCTTCTCATCCAGAACTTACCGAGCACATATGTGAAAAATTGGGAATTCCCGTTGCTCCATCTGTGCAAAATAAATTTAGTAATCAGGAAACATCAGTTAAAATAGGTGGGTATTTTTTTTTTAGTTGAAATTTTGCAACAGCGATGTATCGCAGGAGCTAAAAGAGAACAAACTCATATCCTTGTCTCGCAACCTTATACTAACAATTTTCTGTATCCTTGTAATTCGCAACCTCTATAACTCGCGACCTCAACCTTTTTCATGACAGAATGTTCAGTTCGTAATGAAGATGTATTCATCATTCAATCAGGTTCAAAACATATTAATGATCACCTGATGGAGTTATTGATTATGATATCCGCTTGCAAAGGCGCCTCTGCGAGTCGGGTTACCGGTAACTTGTCATCCTTTATCTGCAATTGCAAATTTTTTGTGGCCAACCGATCTGAATGATAATTCCAAATGCGCATGCATACAGCCGTAATGCCTTACTTTCCATATTCGAAACAAAGCAAAAAGAAAAAATATCGAGGGGCCATAACTGCGAAAAGTGAGTATTTTTTTTTTAGCAGATGTTAATCTTAATTTATCGTGAGAAATTAATGGTGACGGCGCCATTACCTTAAGTGGTGGCGAATCTGCTTTCAGTTGCCGGCGTAGATCATATCATCACAATGGATTTGCATTCGTCGCAAATGCAAGGATTTTTTAATAAACCCGTTGATAATTTATATGCCGAACCTTTGATCGTCAAGTGGATTCAAGATTCAGTATGCGATTTTACTAATGGTGTCGTCGTAAGTAAAAATGCTGGTGGTGTAAAAAGGTTCGTACAGTGATCATTATTTCAAATCAAATCCCACCACTCACTCCACGAGATTTACATGCGTTCCTATTTACCTCTTCAGAGTGACTTCTCTTGCTGATCGTCTCAAGATCGATTTTGCACTTATTCACGCTGATCGTACACGTGGCTCCAACAACACGCACTGCGATTCTGCTGGTGAAAACAGCAACACCTTTACCAATAACAATCATCATGCTACCGCAGCAATTATCAATAAAGCGTCCGATGAAAATGACATCGAAGAAGGGTATCCCTCTCGCAGTGCTTCTACAGCGGTAGCGGACGAAGCTCCTTTCGTGAATGATACTGAACCAGACAGCGTTACCATTACACTTGTTGGAGATGTGGCAGGGAAAGTGGCCTTTGTTTTGGTGAGTATTGTTTTGTTTGTTCGTCCACTTTTTTATTGTGCTTGCATCATATAAACCAATTAAAAATGAATTTAGGATGATATGATTGATAAGGCCGGTTCATTCATAGATGCATCTGAGCATTTGGTAAAAAAATGTGGTGCCAAACGTGTATATGTAATTGCCACACATGGAATTTTGAACAATGATTGTCTCGGAGAAATTGAAAGATGTAAGAGTATATATAAGGTAACGGCGGTCGTTAACCATACCCACCGTACTTTAATTGATGTTACTTACAGTATCTATCATTCTTTCCTCACTATAGTTGGTGATCACAAATACCTTTCCGATTTCACCGGAAGACCGCCGGAAAAGCACCAAACTCGTGATAATTGATGCTTCTGTAATTATTGCGGAGGCCATCAGGAGAATTCACAATGGCGAAAGTGTCAGCTATTTATTTTTTACATCTTTGTGAGAAAGTAATTAGTTAGAAGGTGAATGAATGCACACGAACAAATAATGGTATTCATTAATCTGTTGTATATAGTTAATATAATAATGATTCGTTTTAATTTCATAAATTTCAAGTGTATTTATTATATACTGTAAATGTATAAATGATTTTTGAAATCTTATGATCCAAGCTGAAACTCAGTTTCTACTTCAACAATACTATATTGCATATATACTGTGTATACTGTTTATATACAGTATACATACTGTATACTGTACTTTAAAAAACAATGTTAACATAAATGGTTTTAAAAACAAGGTAAAATATTCACAACGTCTTTTCACAAGTTTCAATGAACCAATTCTTTCTCCGGGCTCACTGGTTCTCATCAAACATGCATTTGAAAGTTGCACAGTGAAAATGACTTTATCGTTTTCACTGATCTACATGCGTACATAAAAGAAATTCGAAAATCAATGCACAGTAATAATAATTCGTTTAACTTGTCTCAAAGTTTCTAATGACGCACCAATCTGGTATTCGAGGTCGGTACTACCTTGGTGTTGGGACCTACCTCATTTTCGCCGGGCTAACTTCATTTTCTCTTCTGTAGTTTCAAAAGAACTAGCCGAATTATTTACCAATGCTGTTCTGCATGGAAACATGAGAATTATACGCGTTTCCATTGTTAACGGTAAATTATCAAGTTTTCTTCGGGAACAAAAATTTATGCTAATTCAAAGGTGTATCGATTTATTAGAATCTCTTATCCCCAATGGAACGCAAACTGTTATAAATTCATGGGATTCTGGTGAGATTTATTATTAACTCGGCATTGCAACAAACTCAATCCTCGCAAATCACATAAGATGTGCAACTGCATCTTAATTAGACTTTGACGAGGTCAAGAAATTCTTGGATGAAAAAATACCGTGTTACATTCTTTATCGTCTTGATTCCAGATCGTCTTCTGGAGATTATGAATGGTTGTTTTTAGCCTATGTCCCAGATGAATCGAAGGTAATTGAAGAATTTTTCTTGTTATTCACTTGCGGCACTATATTTATAACAGGCAACTTGATTTAGGTTCGGGACAAAATGATTTATGCATCGACGCGTGCTACATTGACCAAGGAGCTTGGAGACTATCGATTCGTGGACTCCATGTATGGTAATAAAATAGTGAGTTCGAGATTCCTAAGCTTCAAAATTAGATTTTGCTGGAACTCATTATTGTTTGCCAATGTGATAATGAATTCAGGATGAATTTACGCTGGAAGGATATCATAAGCACAAGCAACACCAACAGGCCGAAGCCCCATTAACTCAACGCGAAAAAGAACTGGCTGAAGTCAGATCTGCCGAAGTATTTGACAGTGTCTTTCGGCTCGTCGAAATCTTTGGTGACATTGAAGTTATATTAATTTCATCTTTCACCTATATAGGCAAACGAGAACTCCTTCAGTTCCTCGGCACGCAGATCTCATGCTGCCGGTGTTTCTTTTCCTCTCTCAGATGAAGCCATCGAGGCCATAAAGTCGTTGAGTCAAACGGAAAAATTACATAATTTTGTAAAACTGGTATGTCATTTTGTTTATCCCTTGTTTCCGGACGCGAAATCTAGTCAACTCACCATCGATCTTGTAAATACAGTCATTGGATATCACTAATGAAAGAGTTGAACTATCTTCAACAGACAAAATCGAGATCGATGATCTGGCAAATTCCCTACCTTCTGACGCTCCGTGTTTTTCTTTTTTCGCGTACGATCACAATTACAAAGGAGACGATTTTCATTCCATAAGTAATTTAAAACTTTCTGATCGAAATTTTATTATTACTATTATCATTATCATTATGTCTTATTCTGAAATCCCTTTCTCTCAAGTTTTTTTATATACGTGCCCATCGTCCTCTAAAATTAAGGAGCGCATGTTGTATTCATCTTGTCGTGGAGCAGTAATTTCGTTTTGTGAGGGTGAAATCGGCCTTACAATCACCAAGAAGGTCAGTTAATTATACTTCTAATACATCTAGAAACACGTCCGCAGACTAATGTTATTCGGCTTCTAGTTGGAAACAAATGATCCCAGCGAATTTACCAAATCATATATTTTGGAAGAATTACACCCGGTTTCCGACGCGCCTGTACAAATGTTTTCACGACCGAAGCCTCCGGGTAGAAGCAGGGCAAGCGCAAAGAGTAATTGAAAGTGTAAAGTGGACAAATTATTTAAATTCAATTACCCGGCAAAATTTAACCTTTACTCTCAAATTATAAGATATTTTTATAGTTTTATAATTTTTATTTATAATACTGTATGAAGTCTTAACAAGGATCAAATTTTTTTTTATTTATCACCTCAGGTTTTTAAATTAGATACACAATGATTAAAATAAAGATTAATATTTCCGGAGTACTATTTCTCGAATTTATTTTATTATTTTTTGTAGATAAAATTAATTGACAAATAATAATTATTAATAATCAATTTACTTAAATAAGCAGTATATACTGTATTTTAAAACTAAATTAAACTTTGTAGGAATTTTATTTTTTATTTATTTATTTATTAATTATTTAACATTTAATATCATATATATAGATATAGGGATTTAAGTTAAACTATTTCTTCACTAGTTAAAATTATATTACTCGGCATCTGAATTATTGCTAAATTTGATTAAATTTATTAACACTAGTTAAAATTTTCTTATTCAGCCAAATTGTTGTCAAATTTGATTAATTTTACTAATAAAAACATTAACAAATTTTTTTAATTACCATCACTTGGCATATAAAATATTGACAAAAAATTCAATAATAAATTAACATCAAATTTGATATACTATGGCAAAAAAATTAAGTATCAAATTCAATAAAAAATTTATATACTATAATTAATGATGGATCCTTAAAGTCTAATATTATGTCCTATAACTGAAAGTTTTATAATCAAAAGTGAATTATATCCCCTACAGACTTTAGGTTATGAGACATAATTTTATAATCAAAAGTCAAATTTTTATAATCAAAAGTTAATTTATAACCGAAAGTCAATTTTTTATAACCAAAAATCAATTTTATAACTAAAAGTGAATTTTTTATAATTGAAAATCAATTTCATAACCAAAAGTCAATTTTATAAACATAAATGATTTAATAACTGAAAGTAAGAATATAATGTACAAATTTTGATCAAAAGATCTATTTCAAAAAATTCCTAATTAATTAATTTATTTTTAGTAACATATAGTTGAATCAAAATATAATGGCGACCAAATTTTTTGCTATAAAAACATTTTTTACTAATTAAATTTAACTCAAATTTTTTTATTTAAAATATTAATATTTGTCTTATATATCTTTAAATTATCAAGAAATTATCTTTTTTTTTCATATTGTTATTTAATATTTAGTTTTATTGTTTAAAATATAAAATATTAAAAAAATATAAAAATTATAAAGTTCTTTAATGTAATAGACATTTATATCAATAAATTATTAGAAAAATATATAAAGATATTCTAATAAACTTTGTTTAAAATAGCAAAACAAATATTTTTTATTAATACTTATTGATTTACTTAATAAAAATTTATAAAAAATTATAAAATTTGTTATGTATATATATATTTTTTGTACATTTTTAAAATTATTAATTTTCATAAAATATTGTTAAGTTAATAGTATTTTAGTCATTAATTGAAAATATTTTTTACGTTATTTTGCCCATAGTTTATTAAAGCGATTTAATATATTATTATAATATAATTTTTAATTATATAATCATAAAGTTAGTTTGCCATTATTTTTTTATTTAATTTTTTATAAAAACAATAGTAAATTAACTTTGCTAATATATATTTTTAAAATATTATTAATAAAAAAAAAATAAAATCACTATTATTATTTTTTTTTTTAATATGACCCTCTGTCAAGCTAGTTATGTGTGCTTTATTAAACAATTGTAAGCTGTACATTATATATGTGACGCTAAAGCTAAATCTCTAACTAACTCACTCGTCAAAGTCTTATATTTATCTAGGACT